CAGTGGCAGATAAAAATATTTTGTGGCCGGGCGGTGGTGGCGCACGCCTTTAATCCCAGCACTCGGGAGGCAGAGCCAGGCGGATCTCTGTGAGTTCGAGGCCAGCCTGGGCTACCAAGCGAGTCCCAGGAAAGGCGCAAAGCTACACAGAGAAACCCTGTCTCGAAAAACGGAAAAAAAAAAATATTTTGTGTACATGTTCTTAAGATGGATGGGTGGATAGATAGATAGATAGATAAATAGATAGATTGATTGATAGATGATAGATGATAAATATCTAATCATGAAGAGATTATCTTCCTATAAAAGGATTTTCTTATTTATTATTTGGTTTTCTCTAGGTAGCAAATGTGTAGCTACCAAGAGGATTAGTCAGGAGACCAGTTTCCAGTTGCGTCTGCTCAAGTCACAGGTGCAGATGAGTCTTGACATGAACTATTTCCTACATAGATCAGTTAGGCTGGCTCAGTACCCCACCCTGTGCTTCCAATTCACTGTGCTAGTGAAGTACCTGCGGGGCTGCTAACCAGTCAGAGCTCCTGGAACTTTCAAATTTCAAACAATTCTTGCTGGGAAGCAAGCATTCAACTAATTGTTTTTTGAAGTCTCTAATCCCTACATTAAATGAGTAGGCTACCCACAATCTTCGGATTCTGTCATATAAATGTCCAGCAAACTGGCAATTGTTAAGAAGCTAAATATTAGATCTCTGAACTATGATTCTATAAATAGTTGTTCAATATTTATGTACAGTAACAGAGGAAAGTATATTTTTCTGTCATTAGAAAGCAAATAGTTCAGAATTACTTAGTATTTTTCTCTAATCAAATCTTTTTTATAAATATTTTTATTTTATAATTAATTTAATTTTACACATCAGCCACGGATTCCCCTGTCCTCCCTCCTCCTACCCCCCAGCCTTCCCCCCCCAATCCACCTCCATTCCCACCTCCTCCAAGGCAAGCTCTTCCCCGGGGAGTCAGCTCAGCCTGGTAGATTTAGTTGAGGTAGGTCCAGTCCCCTCCTCCCTGCACCAAGGCTGAGCGAAGTGTCTCAGGCCCTAGGTTCCAAAAAGCCAGCTCATGCACTAAGGACAGGTCCCGGTTCCACTGCCTGGGGGCCTCCTAAACAGTTCAATCTCATCAGCTGTCTCACTTATCCAGAGGGCCTGGTCCAGTTTCATGGGGGCTCCTCAGCTATTGGTTCACAGATCATGTGTTTCCACTAGTTTGGCTATTTGTCCCTGTGCTTTTTCCAATCATGGTCTCAATATCTCTTGCTCATATAATCCCTCCTCTCTCTTGCCCATTGGACTCCTGGAGCTCCACCTGGGGTTTGGCCGTGGATCTCTGCATCTGCTTCCACCAGTCACTGGATGAGAGCTCTATCATGACAATCTTTTATTAGGTGTTCAAAACAAAGTCCATGTTTGTGGTAGTGGGTACACACACACATATATGCACATGCATCTCAGTGTACACACACACACATACACACACACACACACACACACACACACACACACACACACACACACACTTTTATTCTACAATCTGTGTTCATATGGTTTTGGTCAGGCCAAGCAATTGGTAGCAGGCATGAAATAATTTATAGATTCCAGGAAGTTGCATCATGCTATGCATTATTTAGTTTTAGAATTTTAATAAGGGCTGCAGATGCACATTGCCAGAATATTCATCAAGGGAGGTGGTCGCTTGTGGAGAGAGTGATGTTTTTCATCTTTAGAGTCCATCAGTTTCTCTGGGGACTGTACCAACATATCTTTCCTTTTCTAGATGTGCAGGAGGATGTTTGACTGGCACCAGTGAATCCTTGGTACCCTTTAAGGGTAGTTTCTCCTGGATAGTTGCCTGGGAATCTTGAGCCATCACCTGATTGACTACATTCTTACGTTCACTATGAAGAAGTCAGATCATGTGTCAGAGGAATGGGTGGCATGGATGTTGGCATGTGGTGCCATGGCTATATATAACCTATTGTGCTGGGTGCAGGGGATGGGTGAGACATTCCTTTTAGTCTATTCTGAGCAAGTGGCATAAAGATTATTCAAGCGGTTCCTGAATGAGTCTGGAGGTTCTTTTTCCCACTCCGTACTACTGGTAAATAACCAGGCACTCCGAGAAAGCCAGGAAACCATTTCCTGACCAGCACAAGCGTGAGGGGAGCGCGTGGCTTGAGAGCCCCTTACCCTGGAGCGCGTGTGGGCTTTAGAGTTTCCCAGAAGTGAGTTGTGAGTTCTGGGGAGGTCTGACATGCATGTTGTCATCTGTGCTTCCACGAAGGGAGAAGGGTTTCCGGAATCAGGGTGCCACTTCTTTGGGGACCTAATTTGGACTTAGCCAATCTGTCATAGTTCTAGTGTATTGTGAGTGTGCTGCATTAGAAAGCATATGGAGACATGTTTGTGTGTTTCCATACGTCAGAATTCACTGAATAATAGCAAACTGGCTACACCAGTTCCATAGGCTGAAATTTACCAGGTAGTCCCCTATTCTTTGATAGTTGGCCGTTGGCAAGCGCAGGTTCTTTTCTCACAATCTTAATTACAGATACTCACTTTTAGGTCACATGTTACCCATGACATAGTAATTACATCTACATCATGTAGGCTACTAAAGGGCTGAGGAGGCCACAGCGGAGTTCAAGGCCTTCAGAGGAAGGAGGCAGAGCTGAGAGATGCAAAGAGAGTCGCTGTGCAAGCAAGTGTGGGGTGTTAGATGATACCCCAGAGGCAAGCCAGGATACCTCAGGACTGAGTCAGGCCCCAAAGGTGAGGTACAGGACCATAGATGCCTAAGAGGTGGCGCTGTGAATTGAACAAACGGGTGGGCTGACAGTGGCAGTTTGAATCGGTCATTGGCAGCAGGGACTGAGCTAAACTGAAGCCCCAGGTACGCAGGAGGTCTCTACATGTTTGGTCCTGTCATGTGCGCAGGGAGTAGGCAGATGACAGATTGGTGAAGGTCATGGCAGTGTCCTTCTCTTTAGCGGGTCCATGGGAGGATGTTGCACCCTTCCTTGGTCTGTTATTTTCTGATATGATTTTAATGTGCCCATGGATTCATCTGGTCCCAGTGTAGTTTGCTAAGATTATAGTTGGCATCTTCTTGCCTTTAGGACTGGGTCTGTGCTTTGTGGGATGTGCTGAATGGGTGGTGGTGTTTCTGTGCACAAGGTGCAGAGTCATCCTGCAGTTTTTCATTCAAAATGGAGCCAAATGTTGACTGCAAATTGGAGTCACCCAGCACAAAGCACAGCCTAAAAATACTGTTTTACGTATTCTGGAGTAACAGAGCAGGGCCCAGCCTGATATCAACATGATAGATGTGTTTTATATGATTATAATGATATTATAATGATAGGACCAAAGTCCTCTGGTGTGCCAACATGCTGCCTGGTCTAGCTGGCTTGGTGTTCCTCTCAGCAGGTGATGTAGCTGGATGGTAGGCACTGGGAAGCATGTGCCCATAGGCATCTATGTACCTTGGCATCTAGAAGCAGCCATGCTTGGGAGGACAGTGGACTATCAGTCGTTTTGTCGTCCAGGCTGGTCACGAAGCCATTTCCTCTCGTCTAGATATCTGAAGTGTTCTGCATCTTTAGGCTCAAAGAGGCAGAGCGAGGTTAATAAATAAAAACCAGGAGTGTGAGAAGTTGGAAAGTCTGTCACGAGAGTGGCTGGAATGCTAGCCACAGATGCTGTGCTGGGGGTGGGGTGGGGGCTAGGAGGTGATGTCTGAAGTGGGAATAACCAAGCTGTCAAAAGAGGGGTTGGTGGGATGCGAGACCCGCTGATACTGTTACGCAGATGGAGTGATGACAGGGTCCAGAACAGAGCTGGGGCAGAGACGTGTCCGTGGGACAGGCTGGAGGCCTAGATGTTCCAGAGCAGAGGGGGTCTGAGGCTCATCAGCGTGAATACGAGGATTGCTTTAGATGAAGGTATGGTTGGTATGAAGAGAGGAAAATGTGAACCAGATGTATCTGTCAATGTAATAAAGTTTAAGTTCTTAAAAAATATATATCCAATTGAAATACATATACATGAAATCAGAAGGTTATCCTCCTGGCATAGAAAGATTGTTTTGACATTGAAAGCAGGGCTCAGGACTCAAATGCTTCTCTGAAATTTTTGCCTTAACTAAAATCCCCAGTTTTAAAAATCAGTGATGCAACAAAAGTGACAGGTCTCCACTTGTATGCCATGTATTTGTTATTTTGATTCTTAATAGCCCCTTACACTGACCAACACATGATTGTCATGGGCCTCATTTCATGGATCTGTCCTCTGATGGTAAAGGATACCGGAGAACTTGTGAGTCACATCAGATATGAAATCTGCCCTCGTAATAGTGTATGTGAAGGTGATTGAGTGAGTGATGTTTTTGTTTAAGATTTTTGATTCTTTTTGAAAAATCTTTGCATCTCAAAAGTAATTCTGCTTGCCAAATGAGGGCTGGCAATTTAGATTTTCATTGTGACTTTAAGTATTAAATCATGTGGTGCTTTGGAGAGTGACCATTGCCCCTTACACTGAAAATTCCATAGCTAATTTTGAATGGCTGGGGATTCCTATGAAACGCATTCTAGCCTTCCTCTATTCCTAGACATCAGATTGGCACGTCTATTCTGAAACATTGTGTGCTCAGTATAGCTCACCAATGTCACCAGCTGCCACTTCCTTCTCTGGAACCCAAAAGAATCTAAAAGGGACAGGGAATGTCAGAACTAAGCTCTCAGCTGACCCTTCAGTTTGAATACCTGAAGGAATAGTATGAAAGACCCCAGCCTTCCTGTGTGTGTAGATGGGCCAGTAGAGAGGAATATGTCTGCAACTGTAGGATAGAATTTGAACAAAGGAGGCCAGGTATCTAAGACATGCTGTGGCTGGCCCTTGGATGTGGAGAGTGACCTTCTGTAACCCCTTCTCCCAGGGTAAGATTGAGTGGCCCTCACATACTTGCTTTTCTTTACTGCAGGACATTTGTGAAGATATTTCTGACCATGTGGAGCAGATCCATGCCCTCCTTGAGACGGAGTTCTCCCTCAAGCTGCTGTCTTACTCAGTCAATGTCATCGTAGACATCCACGCAGTGCAGCTGCTCTGGCACCAACTCCGAGTGTCCGTGCTGGTCCTGCGCGAGCGCATCCTGCAAGGTCTGCAGGATGCCAATGGTAACTACACCAGACAGACTGACATTCTGCAGGCGTTCTCCGAAGAGACAGAGGAGGTGAGTGGCCCGGGGCAGCAAGCGATGCTCTGTCAGGTGTTCCTGTTTGAAAATATTTTCGGTTTAGAGGTGTGAGCGTGAGATTTTTATAGATGAGTAAGCAGGTCTTCAACCAGGGTCTGGGTGGAGTGATGAGAAGCTAAGGCACTTGTAATATGAAGGGAGCTTTTGACATACAAAATAGTTTGTACAGATGTCATCCATGGATGTGTTAGCACTTTCTGACTTCCTGCCTCCTCTTCAATTATTTAATATGTATTTGTTTAACACGTAACTATATGTTCATGTACTAGATACTAAGAATATGATCAAAACAGCATTTCGAGGGGCTGGAAAAATGGCTCAGCAGTTAAGAATACTGACTGCTCTTCCAGAGGAAGGTTCAATTTCCATCCCTCTCATGGTAGCTCACAACTATCTATAACTCCAGTTCCTGGTGACTGGACACCTTCTCGTGGCCCTAGTGGGTACCAGTCATCCATATAGTATATAGATGTCCACTCAGGCAAAACACCCATATACATAAAATACCCCCACTCCCCAAATAAACCATCTCTGCTTGTGGGGAGATTTGAATCTAGTAGGGGATGGAGAGAAATGGGCAAATGCTAAGGCCAAACTGTCATAAGTCTGTGGGATGCAGTAGGATGTCAGAGAAAGAAGCATCCAATATACGTAAGAAAGGTTTTCCAGAAGTGAGTCTAATCCATGCCCAGGAGGTGAGGCAGGATTAGACAGGTAAAGAGACAGAAACTGTCCAAGACAGAGGGGTTGGCAGGGCCTAATGCGGAAGCAAAAGAGGTGGGATTAAGACAAAGGCTGGGGGACTGAAAGTGGGATTTATAAGGAGTCCAATAGAAAAGGCAGGGGTCGGGTTATAAAAATAAACTTCTAAGGCCGTGGTAAGAGAACTGGATCTTAGTTTGTGGACAAAAACATTGTTTTCTGAGGGAGCCTTCATGGTTAGCTTCCTCCTGTAGAGAACCAATCTGGACGTAGCAAATCAAACAGGGGCTATTAGAATGCTATCCAATCAGCTCGCTTTATTTTTCTGGTGTGTTTTGTGAGTCCTTTAAATAGTTCGTTGTTATTCTCTATGAACAACTTAAGAGTGGACATAGACTGGGAAGTAGTTGGTGCTTATCCACCGTGCCCAAGACCCCAAGTTTAGTCCCCATTGCTGAAACAGAAAAACAGCAACAACAAATTCCCAACAGGGGCACCTGATTTAATGCAAATTAACTCTCTCATTCTCAAATATAACTGACATGTATTCAAGGAGTATTTCTACAGCGGTAGACACAGATGTAGAAACCATGGACTGATCGGTGGTGTTTGTTGTCTTTATAGTTCTATGGCCCTTGATACCTAGTTTAGTACTTTGTTATTACTTTTTTGGAAAACATTTTTCAAGTTTATAAAGCTCTTGTAAGATTAAGGAGCTTCATAGCAAGTGTTGTAGAATTCACTAATTTATTAGTGTTTCAGTGGCTGTTGAATTATCAACACCACGAAACAAATCTGCACCTATTTTTATACATGATGTGCTTCTACTGATTTTGTGTATTCAAAATAAAGGTGCCATTGTAGAAAATCAGGGCTGGTTTAGAAGTCTGTGGGAGTCAAAATCTGCTTTCTTCTCCCCTAAGTCTGCCAGTCTCCACTTGTGGTTAGCACTGCTTGCTGTTGGAACCCTGTTGTGAAAGTGGGGGGCTGTGTTGGCTTTCAGAGGCCATTGCTTCCCAAGCCCCAGAGGCTCTCGGGGGCCACTCTCATGACTGTGAGAGAGACTACAAGCTCCAGTGGACCATCTATCCTATAAACGACCACCTCTGAACATGCATGCTGACGGAAATCAGGGATGAGGGATACTTGTCTACATTCTAAAGAGATCTTTCTTCAAATCTGCCTCTGTCTGCTGCTGGAAGGAACATGAAAATTGACTCAAAGAAACTCATTTTATAAATTGATTTATTAACTATGATTTAGTTGATCACCAGATTTTTGTGATAGGAATTTGAAGATACAGCAGTGCTCTGGGATTTTTTCCTATTGTTTTATGGATTCTATTTTGCTTTTAATCTTATAGCATTCATGAAATGGAAACACACACACAAAATGGGGGAAAGCCGATGAAGCTAATTGATAATCGCTAACGTTTTCCTGGCAATGTCATAATCTTACATCAATTAGTGTCCATTGTGATTCTTACAAGAAGAACTAAAAATGTATTTCTACATTTCATTGGAAGCAGCTTGGTGCATTTTTATTTTTGAGGCTAGTTGTAGAATTATTGCAGAGAGAGATAAATACACTGTTCGAAGGGTAGAGGAACGGTGGCCTTCCCGCACTGCTTTGTGGGTGTCTGCTGTGGGTCAGGTTCTGGCTGCTCTCGTCCTGCGGGAACCCTTTCTGGTCCTCTTTGTTCCTGACTCTCACATTACTGCAGAGAACCCAGAGATGTTCCTGTTTTTGCCAGCACGCCAGAACTGGGAGAAGGGTCGGGAATTCAGATCACATTCACAGAACGCGTTCAGTGGTGGGAGATTTGCAGAATGAAAATGAAATCGTAAAACTATACACAATGAAATGAAGCACTGATACACTAGAGCAGCAGATGCCCATTCATAGAAGGGGATTCGTTTTCAGAATTCATTTGAATTTCAGAGCCACGTGGAAGAGTGAGTTTGGAACATGAGAGAGTGGCAAGTTCTTCTAATTTCTCTCCTTGACAATGCAAAGTATATGAGTTTCATCCTTTATTTAAATATTGAGCAGACCAAAAATAAACAAAATGGCAGGTATGTGGCTAAAATAAAACAAACCAAGAACCCAACCAATGCATAAAAACCAAAACACTTTGAAGCAGAGCTCAAATTGTACAATGGAACACACACGGAGTGTGTGTACTCTCTGAATGTTCTGTACCCTAGATTCTGGCACAAGTGCTTGATCATTTGTTCCATTCAGCAAGGAAGGCAAGGGGCAAATAGTTTCATTTTATAGATAAGAAAATGGAACTGAAAAAAAGCGAAGTGGCCGCTTAAATACACAGGCCTAGGAATCATTGAACTGAATCAAACCAAAGCAGTTTTCAACTGATTTCTAGCTTAATGATCCCTTCCTCTCTCCCCCCCTTTCTCCCTTCTCCTCCACATTCTTCCCGCTTTTATTCATTTCCTAGTATGTAAAAGGCACCAGGCATAGAATTATGAGTAAACATTACCAGTCACCTTCATAATGTTGATCTGCATAATTTTAGGTGGTAGCCAGGGTGGGCACCGTTGTCTTCATTTTTAGAGGTGTTATCATTCTATCCATCTTAGGGGTGAGAGGGCTCAAGGTGGAAGAGGTAATTTTATGTAAGTCATGATTAATAGTTCTTAGTAATGCCAACACTACAGCAAACATGAGTGAGAAGTTCCTATGTGCCAGATGACGTAGTAAGTACACTATAAGATACTTCCTTCTCTGTGAGACACCTTCTTCCAGAACGTTCACAGCATGACATTTGCTTATTCCTGCCCTGGCACCTGTCACCTGTCACCAGCTAGCTTCTATCAAGACAAAGCTCTACTAGCCTGTGAGCTGCAGAAGGCCCAGCTCTCCCACCCACAGCATGCAGGTTGTACCACTGTATGTACATATCTGCAGAGTTAAATTCAACAACTTAAGACAAAGCAGATAACCGTGTGTTTTGGTGCAGAACAAGGGGGTTTTACTTTAGGTAGGTTAACTGGGAGTTAATCGTAGTGATTATTTGATTTAAAATTTCAGCCTACAGAAAACAAAAATTCTTAAGAATTATTATGGAGTCAAATAATGTTGAAAGATTTTTGTGCATCTTCCCACCATTCATCAGAATGGAGTTTGTTTAATTTTTCCTTATCATACCCACTCTTTCTAGTCCGCTGCCGCTCTCAGGGACTCATTCTGAATCGGAGTCTCCAGTGGTAAAGAGGAAAGGATCCGAAAGAGTTCAGTCCATCGGTCTGAGGGCAGGGGTGGGGGTAGGTAGGTGGCATGTTGGTAAGAGGACCATGATTTTGTATGACAGTGATAAAAACATACGGAACATGGTGTAGCAAGATTATAGGATCTGGGGAAGAGAGGCGTGGCAGCGTTGAATTGGGGACAAAAGAAATGGGCGCTGGGCAGCCAAGGACGCTGATATACCAGTTGGACATTTTAACAGGGGAAGAGCTTCTAGGTTATGACTGTCCCATCTCCAGTTGCTGACGAACTATAATATAGTACTGAAAAAAAAAAAGACGTAAGAGCCTGTGAGCCTCAGTTAACTTAATCACAGGTAAGGAACAAAGCATGATCTCTGTTCAAATTAGAAAAGAAGCAAGGCAGCTTTCCTTGAAGTTGATAAGACCAAAGCCAGTAATAAAGCGAATAAATTACCACCTACGTACAATGCATCCTTCATTCAAGAGCAGCCTCCTAATGTGAGGGTGTCTCTGAGGAGAGACATTGCTAGGCAGTGCTGACACAGTCCTCAGGACCAACAGTATATGTGATACTTCTGGGGTCTAACGGTGGGAAAACCACCACATCCTCATCACCCCTTGGTTCCATAGCTGTGCGAGACTTGCTGCTTACATATGGCAGCAAAATGTCTGGGAGGTGGTGTGGAAGGAGCTGGCAGGACTAAATGTGTGACTCTTCCTAAGCAGTATTTTAAATAATGGAACTCACCAGTCATTTGCTATGAGAAACTTCGGGAACCTTTTTTTCGATATTGCCTCTGTAGGGTCAACAGTATAGAGCAATATACCTAGCAATGGCCAAACAGGTACCAGGCCATTGGTTCAATCCCCAACTTGACCGACCCCTGCACCACCACCCCCAAAAAGCCACTGCGTAGTGAAAACCTACACTGGTTTTATTGTTCCGTTGTTCAGCCTCCCACGCCCCTGACTCCAAAGCTGGGGATTAAGTCCAGGTCTTCAAGAACTTTAGCTAGCATCCTACCACTGGATCATGTTCCCTGTCCCTTCTCTGCTTGTTGAATTTTTTTGCTCTTTGAGGGATGAATTTTTTCACATTTAAAAATTCAGTAATAATAGTAATAATAATATGAATGCTTTTGAATACTTTTTAAATCAAACCAGCATCTGGCTGGTGCTGTGGGATGTTCTGGATGGCAAATGTGTTGCTGGTTGGTCAATAAATAAAACACTGATTGGCCATTGGCTAGGCAGGAAGTATAGGCGGGACAAGGAGGAGAATAAAGATGGGAAGTGGAAGGCTGAGTCAGAGAGACACTGCCAGCCGCCACCATGATGAGAAACAGCATGTGAAGATGCCGGTAAGCCACGAGCCATGTGGCAAGGTATAGATTAATAGAAATGGATTAATTTAAGCTGTAAGAACAGTTAGCAAGAAGTCTGCCACGGCCATACAGTTTGTAACCAATATAAGTCTCTGTGTTTACTTGGTCGGGTCTGAGCGGCTGTGGGACTGGCAGGTGAGAGAGATTTGCCCTGACTGTGGGCCAGGCAGGAAAACTCAAGCTACAGGCTGGTGATCCCCGAAGTTTTACAAAGATTTCATACTCTGTTCTCTGAGATGCAGCCATTTATTTATTTATTTTATATATTTTTTAACATTCATGTCCAATTATTTATTGAACATCTACTGCTCAAGATTTTGAAGACTAAATATAGTCCTGGCCTTCCCTGTTTGTGCAAAAGCAGGTGGCTGACACTTTCAATATCTAGTTATTGCCTGAACTCTGAAATTTATTCATCATAACAATACCTTTCTTTAGTACTTTTTAAACTCATGTAAGACTTATACGACAGTGACTATGATAAAAACAATAGAAATTAATATTCCAAATTTCTACTAGTTGATATTTTTAAAGACCTTATGGAATGGCTTAGTAACATAACCATAATTTTAATAGCTTTTTAATATAATATTGTATTAATTATTTGAGAATTACATACACTATATTTTGAACATATTCAACCCCCACTTCCCCTTTAACTCCTACCAGATTCACACTCCTCATCCCTTCAACTTCTTGTTCTGTCTCTCTAAAAATAAATCCATCAAGTCCAATTTGTGCTGACTGTATGCTCCTGGGTATGGGGCCATCCACTCGAGCATGGTCAGCCTACTGGAGGCCATACCCTTGAAGAAAAATGATTTTTTTTCCTTTCCCAGAAGCCATCAACTGTCAATAGCTCCTTAGCTAGGGGTGAGGACCTATGAGTCCTCCCCACTCCTTGCTAGAATATTGACTGATCTTGTGCAGATGTTGTACAGGGATACACAGATGCACAGATGTTGTGCAGGGATGCACAGATGTGCAGATGTTGTGCAGCGATGTACAGATGTGCGGGTGTTGTGCAGGGATGTAAAGATGTGCGGGTGTTGTGCAGAGATGTACAGATGTGCGGGTGTTGTACAGGGATGTACAGATGTGCAGGTGTTGTACAGGGATGCACAGATGTGTGGGTATTGTACAGGGATGCACAGACATGTGTATGTTATGCAGGGATGCACAGATGTGCGGGTGTTGTACAGGGATGCACAGATATGAGGATGCTATGCAGGGATGCACAGATGTGCTGGTGTTGTGCAGGGATGCACAGATGTGTGGGTGTTGTTCAAGGATGCACAGATGTGTGGGTATTGTACAGGGATGCACAGATGTGCAGGTGTTGTACAGGGATGCACAGATATGCGGGTGTTGTGCAGGAATGTACAGGTGTATGGATGTTATGCAGGGATGCACAGATGTGTGGGTGTTGTTGAGGGATGCACAGATGTGTGGGTGTTGTACAGGGATGCACAGATGTGCAGGTGTTGTACAGGGATGCACAGATATGTGGGTGTTGTGCAGGGATGCACAGATGTGCTGGTGTGTTGTGCAGGGATGCACAGATGTGTGGGTGTTGTGCAGGGATTCTCAGCTGTTGTGAGTTCATGAATGAGTGGTCCTGGCATGTCTGTAAGAATGTGTTTTCCTCCAGTCTCCCCTGACCTCTGGCTCTTTCAATCTTTCTGCCCTTCTCTTCTACAGTGGTCCCTGAACCTCAGCGAGAGGGTGATATGGATGTCCCATTTGTGTTGTTCTGGGGTCAGGACACCTCTGACCAACATCTTGGGTTTAGGTATCCCATATCTGGCACTGGGCTTTTTATTTGGCAAACTATAGTTCCTGAGAGGAGCATTATCCCCTATGTAGGGTAACTCCAATTAAACTCTTTTATATGAAAATATAAATAGTATCTTTATAAAGGAGAAACTCCTAAGTAATGGCAGCCAAATCAAACAATTAGAAAAGTAAAATCTCCTTTTAAATTGGGAATCTCACTATTATTCTCTTGAAAGTTGCAAACCGTAACTTTTATTTGTCTGACTCTTCCCTGGGTGGTTTGGGTTTCTGGCAGGAAGCCTCCAAGTCACACAACTGCGCTTAGCTCGTTTCTGCTGAGGTTGGAGGTTAATCTTCATCCCTTGTTCAGGGTACTTTGGTATTAGAGGTAACTTACGCTTGCTTCCTCCTCAGTAGACTTCATGGGACACAAGCTAGCAGGCATGTCAGTTTAAAGCAATAGTCAAGGCCAGAATTTGGCTTCAGGTCAGAGAGGCTTAGTCCAAGACCTAGGCTGGTCCTTAGTCGTGAGGCCATAGTGACTTATTTTCTTCTTTCTGATGTAATATAAACAAGGACAGTAGTGCAGATCTCAGAAGAAAGTGGTCAGGGTTAAATGAAGAAGCGATAATAGGAACCAGCCATCCCCACTTTGGAATGAGGAAGCCCGGGCTTAGGAAAGGTCGTTTACTATAATTATTTGGCTTATCTGGATATTGTAGAGTAAGAGTGTTGGGACTGGGAGACAGATACAAGGAGAATAAGTGAAGGGAGAGAACATTCCAGAGACAAAATGGATACTCGAATAATAAAACCCTGTGTAAGTCATGAGGCGGTCAGTTCTTGGGATGACCTGGCTGAAGGGACACTGGTCTAGCAGTTAGATGGGGGTCTGGTGTTAGGGTCTTCACTCCAGTCCCCTTGCCGAGAGAACAGGGATCACCTTCACCCCCTTTCCTTCCTATGAAAGGTAGACCAGGCTGTCCTTCGGCTTGGTAAGCAGAATCCAGTTTGTATCCTACATCATCATATGATATAGAAACTACATTAGCAATGTGACAAAGACCTCAATTACACGATTAAAGAGCAAACAATACTTATAGGGCTATTATTAGTGTGGAAGAATTTCAAATCCTATTGGACCACTTGGAATCATAGATAATAGCAAGAAGGGCAGTTAGCAATTAACACGCAGTGTTGGGAGCAGCAGGGGCAGGGGGATGATGCAGAAGAGGAGAGGGGGCAGAGGCGATGAGCTTTGAACAGTCACTAATTTTCTCTCTGTATAACTTTAAAAGGTGGGGCCAGATAGAAACTGGTCTTAAACAGTCTCTGTTATGTTTTTAAAAACATAACAAAGCTCAGTAGTTCACTTTCCTGAGCTTTGTGAATATTTAACATGACTGGATTAACACAATTATTATTCTACTTAAAATAGTTCTTGTGGTGGGTGCCGGAGTGATAGCATAAACAATCAAACAAAACAAAACCCCTGAGATGTTTATGAAGATTTGACTTTCGTGTTACTTTCTTCATCAGAATTGTGCTTTTTACTTAAGGTTTGAGTTTTTAAAAAAATGCTTATGAAGACAAGTCTGGCAGTTTAGGTCTGTAATCCTAGCTCTTCGGGAGGCTTACAGCAGAAAGATCGAAAGTTAAAGCCTGACCGTTGCGGTGGGAGTTCGAGGCCAGGACCAGCAACACCACAAGGGGGAGTGAAAAGACATCAGGGGACAGAGCACGGCAGGGGAATCGTGGGACACTTTTCTAGAACGGGCAGCGTCCTAGTCCAGTCTCCAGAGCCACAAGCAACACACAGAACCTGAAGTGCTTGGGAAACTATTACAGCCCTGTTTTAAAAAGAAAAGACACAATGGGAAGTTGGCGGGTGGTCTCCACCATCCCTATGGCTCCATGCCTCACGTTAAGTTTTGGATTAGAAGGCGGATACCGTATATAAAGCAGTGTGGTATGTGGTTAGTGTGCCCTTCTATGGGTCAGTTCAGAGCAACTGAAACGGATTCGGGTTTCATGTGGAATACAGTTGTCAAGTGTAACCCGCGTGGCGCTCATTGAAATCATTGCTCTTGTGTGTTTCAGGGCCGGCTTGATTCTCTCACAGAAGTGGACGACTCTGGGCAGTTAACGATCAAATGCTCTCAAAATTACTTATCTCTGGATTGTGGCATTACTGCGTTTGAACTGTCCGACTACAGTCCAAGTGAGGATCTGCTTGGTGGCCTGGGTGATATAACCACTAGCCAGACCAAAGCCAAACCTTTTGACTCCTGGAGCTATAGTGAGATGGAAAAGGAGTTCCCGGAGCTCATCCGAAGTGTTGGGTTGCTCACAGTGGCCACTGACCCTGTCCCTTCTGACTGTGAGGCGGCCAACGAGGAGTCACCTCAAGTGTCTCTTTCAGAAGAGAGCAAAGGTGGGCAGGAGGAACACAGTGCTTTGGCAGCTGGGGAGCAACCGGAAACAACATCTGGGATGCCTTCCTTAGGGGACGCCCTGACAAACGCTGCTGAACACCCTTCAGAGACGGCAAAGCAAGACCCTAGCTCCTCCCCACAGCTCGGCGCAAAGAAAAACCAGCCTGCTCCTTGTGAAACTACAACACCCAAGAGATCCATCCGCGATTGCTTTAATTATAACGAGGACTCTCCCACACAGCCCACATTGCCCAAAAGAGGGCTTTTTCTGAAAGAAACTCGTGCGAGTGAGCGGAAGGGCAGTGACGGCAGGAGGCAGATGGTGGATCTGAAGCCAGAGCTGAGCAGAAGCACTCCTTCCCTGGTGGACCCCCTGGACAGATCCAAGCTCTGTTTAGTGTTACAGTCTTCCTACCCCAGCAGCTCCTCTGCGGCCAGCCAGTCCTATGAATGTTTGCACAAGGTGGGGATTGGCAATATTGAAAGCCTAGTCAGAAGTCACATCAAAGAGATGTCTTCCAGCTTGGGAAGGCTTACTGACTGCCACATAGAGAAATGTCGGCTGAAAAAGCCCCACAAGACCTCGGCGGAGGGGCCCCAGTGCCGAACACCTAAACGAGGAACTGGTTCGGGAAAGCAAGCCGAAATCACCAGGGGCTCAGCAGTGCCGAGCACGGTGCCTTCTGGGGCTCCTAAAGACGCAGTGAGACCAGAAACGGATTCGGCGTCCGCATCCTCAGATGAGCGGCGCCATCAGAGAAACTGGAGCGGGCACTCGCCAGGGCCGTCGAAGGCTTCCAGCTCACACCCTTGCAGTCACAGCAGCGAGTCCTCTGTTGGCTCAGACAACATCACATCTCTGTCTCCAGTTCCTCTTCTTTCACAGAGTGAAAGCCGAAAAGATGGCTCCCCTGCTCCGAGTGACATCACCCAGAACGGTCAGGGGGTGGAGGCCTGGTACGGCTCTGATGAATACCTGGCGTTGCCATCTCACCTGAAACAGACAGAGGTGTTGGCTCTGAAGCTGGAAAATCTCACCAAGCTTCTGCCTCCGAAACCCAGAGGGGAGGCCATCCAGAACATCGACGACTGGGAACTGTCGGAAATGAATTCCGATTCCGAAATCTATCCAACATACCACAGCCAGAAAACACACACAAGGCTAGGCCGGGTGTCCCCGAGCTCATCAAGTGACATAGCTTCTTCTCTCGGGGAGAGCATTGAATCTGGGCCCCTGAGTGACATTCTTTCCGACGAGGACTTATGTGTGCCCCTCTCCGGCGTGAGAAAATACGCGGATGAGAAATCAGAGAGGCCCTCGTCCTCAGAGAAGCATGAGAGGCATTCTGCTACAAAGTCAGCTTTAATCCAGAAACTAATGCAAGATATTCAACACCAAGACAACTATGAAGCCATATGGGAAAGGATAGAGGTAAGGTTAGATTTAATCCAGTCAAGTCTTGCCTGAGTTTTAGAAATGATGCTGGGGGAACATTCACCTCCCCCCTACTCCATTCTCAAATACGTTAACAGTTTTAAAATTGAACTTCATATTCGTTGTCAAAGAAAGACATGGAAAAGATAGGTGACCCCCACATTTTGACATTCTGTGCATCCCGAGGGCCTTGTCAGTGCAAGTCACCTCCTGCTGTAGAATCCTGTCGGTGCTGCTCACACTGAGCAAGGTCCCCGATGAATGGTGGACTCACACCATTGGTGGGAAACAGCTTCTAACAGTAGCTACACACACGGTCCTCCGGATGGATGTCACAGTTACCTTCAGCACTTTTAAATCTCTTTTCTTAGCCCTAGAATGGCTCACACTTCTCCAATAGCTCCCGTTGAAAAGACCAAGTATGTCCAACCTCCTGGCCGCCACTGGTATTTTTCCCACTCCTCTTCCTTTTTGGGGACCTCTGGATCATTTCTAAGCCATCTCTCACATGCGCTACTCAGGGGACATGGGAAAAGACATTTAATTTTGGGTAAATTTGTACTTTTGGAAGGAATTATTGGATGTGATAGAGCCTTTGAAGACAGACCTCAGAACTACACAATATAAGTTATGATTTTATTCTTTAAGAGACATCTAGACCAAAAGGATTCACTTTCTCTAGAACTCTGTTGGAAACAGATCCAGTTAATTTGATCATTATTTATTTTTTTCTTTGACGTATAAATGTCCATACCTTGCAAAATTTGTCCAGCACTTTATTGTGGGTAAAAATCTTCCAGGTACACTTTTAAACCCATTCCACCCATCATACAAAGAGCTCATGTGTGATCACTTCTCTTTATCGATGGAAACAGCTTGGTGAGCCTATGTTAGGTCTACAAGCTAAACTAGTTGGGTTGACAGTCATACCAACTGATGGACACTTTTGCTTGGAAAGCTAAGTTGCAAATCTGTATCTCTTGGTTCTTCAGCTGTTTTTTGTTTGTTTGTTTTGTTTTATTTTTTGTCTTTTTGTTTTTTTGAGACAGGGTTTCTCTGTGTAGTTTTGGTGCCTGTCCTGGATCTCGCTCTGTAGACTAGGCTGGCCTCGAACTCACAGAGATCCGCATGGCTCTGCCTCCCGAGTGCTGGGATTGAAGGCATGCACCACCACTGCCTGGCTCCTCAGCTGTTTTTACTGTTGCAGTGTGAGAGAGACTGGACTGTCTATCCTACAGGGAAATTTCAGTAGGGGAGGGGAACAAGTTTCAGCGCTATCCAGATTTCACAGAGACTATTCTGTAACCCCTGGGTCTACTCAGGCACCCCCTCATCGTTTTATGTATGTTCATTGATGAACATACCGTTCAAGGATCACTATAAGGCTAGGTACTGTTGAATGTCACATATGGACAGAATAATCTATAGAAAAAAAAGCCAAGCTCATAAAAATAAAATTAGCATAAATATATAATAGTAATGTTTTAAATAATTGTTACCTGAAGTATTTATGTGTCCAATCCTCATCACAATATTAACATTAATTACAAATGGGGTTAATTCATTCAGATAATATAGAAGAGGAGACTGGGACTGAGAGACACCAGGCAATTTTCTCCGGAGCCCACACTACTGACTATGTGTTCTTATGCCCCTCCCATATTTTAAGAGCAGTTATCCATATTGTTGCATGGGAATGCTGTACACAGTAGGTGGAGAAGATGTGTCACTGGAAATTCTCATGAAGTCCTAACCCTTGTGTAGAGCATTGAGTGGCATGCGGGATTTAGACCATAGAAGGACAGGAAGCATAAACTCAGCTGCAGGGCTCAGAACGAGGATGGACTTGGACATGAAGATGCGCACAGCGCTCAAAGCTATCCTAGCTGGAGAGTCTCTGATCAGAAAGTGGAAGTTTTCACACTAGACTAGCTAGACCTTGTTTCTGCAAGGCCCTGAAGACCACCCCAAAGCCATTAGGAGGAAGCAAGAGTAGGAAATGCAGCCCATAATAACTAGTGTCTTAACCTCTTATACTGTGTTTGGATCTGCGCTATGTGCGTTACAGGTCTTGCTCTCCTGATGGCCCAGGGGACAAGAATTACTTCAGAGTTTGCTCAGGATGTGGTAAAGAAACTTGCTCAGAGCAGTCAGTCCAAAGGTAGGACTTGTATGCAAAGCAGTGTATGTACCTGAGCAATGTATGCTGTGGCTTCCAGGCACCTTTCCGGAAGGTTTGATTAGCGATAAGAGAAACTATGGCACCTGTGGTGGTGACCAGTATGACGTCAATTTTAGGGGCTGCTGTGATGCAGAGTGGGAAGGGGTCCTGTCACAGAAGTGAAGGTGGCCTAGCAAACTAATTCTAGGTCTTGCTCAGCCACCAAAGCTTCTGGGGCCACTTCCCACTGCCACTCAGCTTTCCACCTGTCTCCTCTGAGCCTCACAAAGCAGAAAGCAGAAGGCATGTAAATGGCCCATTAATAGGAGGCACTGAGTAGACTGTGATCTGTGATCGGATTCCCCAGGAGAACTTCACCTGCATTTGGTACCTAGTATCTCAGGTTCCTCTGTGTCTTTATGTGTAAGACGAATTGCTAAACAGTCTTATTAATAAAAAAACCTGAAGCCAGAAAATTGGATGAAAATTGAGAGATCTGAGGAATAGAATAAGCCACAGTCACAAGTTCTTACCCTAGGAAAATCCTCAGCCCCAGAGAGAGCCACATATAAACCTTTCTGTGTTCTGCCATCTCACTTCCTCTCTCTGCCCAGCTACATCACTTCCTCTTCCTGCCCAACTCTATCACTTCCTGTCTGTCTGTACAGACCTCTAGACCTCTATGGTTAACTAGTGCTGGGATTAAAGGCGTGTGCCACCACACCTGGCTCTGTTCCCAGTGTGGCCTTGAACTCACAGAGATCCAGATGAAACTCTGCCTCCTGAATGTTAGGATTAAAGATATTTGTTACCATTGCCTGACTTCTATGTTTAATATAGTGGCTGGCTTTTTCCTCTGATCTCCAAGTGAGCTTTATTTATTAGAGCACAAATAAAATATCACCACATTGATGCCAATTTTATTAATAGGAAAATTTTCTTTTTAGTGTACTTTCTTTTCTTGCTTTTTTGAGACCCATTTTTTGTTTTGTTTATTTATCTTTCAGATTGTGACTTAATTATATTTCTCCCTGTCTGTCCCCTGCTCCAAACCCTTCCATACACCCCTTCCCACTCTCCCTCAATTCATAACCTCTTTTCTCACTGATTGTTGTTGATCCCAGTTTTACTCACTTGACAGTAGTTCTTTGTGTAAGGCTGAGGCCTCATGGGCTTTTCGCTGTCCATTTTTGAAACCCATTTTTTAACAGACAGTGTATTTACATGGTTGAAGAACACAGACATTAAAGAAATACCCATTATCTCTCCCTCCAGCCCAATACCCTGTCTTGGGTTCTGACCTGCCCTGAGGAAATTGTTATCTAGAGGCTTAGGTCCTTCAAGACATGCTTGTTCATACGGAAGCAAGAACAGACATATTTGTTAAGTAATATTTCAAAAACCTGGAATCAAGTTGCAACCTTTCCTTCTTTGCACACAGAAGCTCCTTTCTAGTTATTATTATTTCCTGCTCTTCACAGAAAGCTTGAGGGGATTTTTCTCAACCATGATTTACCAAGAATCTATGGGACAGACAAGTTGATGGATAGTTTCAGATTTGAGTGCCCACCACCCTGTGATCTTTCAACATTAAATTAAAAGTGAAAAGTTTAATCAAGCCACTTCAGCAGATTTTTTTCTGATAAATGCATGAAATAGAATAAAAATAATGAAGAGACATTAGTGAAGGAAGTGCCTAAAACACATGCTCTTTAACTTGGGTTTAAAAACTAGCCTAGCAGAAGGTCTGGACCTATGTGCTGTAACTAACATGAGTGTACACGTTCTAGCCTAAAGGGGATTCTAGCCCAAGCCTGGTTATTCCTTATGTTTAGTTTGTTGGTTTGCTATATTGTTCCATTTCTTCTTTGAAGTCCTGAGTAACTAGACCTGGGACCTCATACATACTACACTCTACCACTCAGTTATTCCCAGCCTGTTTGTAATGTTTTATGGGAACACGGTCATGCTTTTTTTTTGGGGGGGGGGGCGGTCTGTGGATGATTTTGCTCCGAGATGATAGACTTGAGGAATTGTGACAGAAAATACCATGAAAAGAATGAAGCATTTCCTCTCTGGCCCTTGGTGGAGCAATGCCCCTGACCTCTGCTCTTGACTGAAGAAGAAAGATGGAAAACCATTTCTGAATAGCATATGTTATGTGCCAGATTCTGCAGTAGATCTTTTATTTAATTTATATAATGGCCCTATGGAACACCTGTCCCTTTATATAATGGCCCTATGGAACACCTGTGCCATTATATAATGACCCTATGGAACACCTGTCCCATTATCCATTATAGAACGACCCTATGCAACACCTGTCCCATTATATAATGACCCTATGGAACACCTGCCCCATTTTGCAGACGACAAATCCAAGGACCAAGTGCAAATGATGCCAACTGTGAGGGCCTGAGGTCACAGGGCTGCTGACTGTAAGGGCCTGAGGTCACAGGGCTGCTAACTGTGAGGGCCTGAGGTCACAGGGCTGCTAACTGTGAGGGCTTGAGGTCACAGTGTTGGTTAAGTGGTGGTGCTCATGGCTGGCCGCTGCCCACGGCAGCCATGCTGCCAGTGGGGGGGGAGAGATAGGGAGGGAGAGAGGGAGAGAGCAGAAAGAGAAGAGGGGGAAAAGGGCGCACAGAGGGCCCTCTCGCTTTTTAGGCTGGGACGCCGTCGCAGGCAGGTGACCTACTTAAGGACAGAATCCTTACACACAGGGCTGCTAACTGTAAGGGCCTAAAGTCACAGGGCTGTAAGGTCACAGAGCTGCTAACTATAAGGGCCTAAGGTCACAGAGCTGCTAACTGTGAGGGCCTAAGGTCACAGGGCT